AAATGCTTACATGGGGCACATCCTACTAACTCAGTGATTAAGTTTATCATGAATCTGATGATTCAGGAACCTATTTTGCAAAGATATTTGTAATACAAGAGAAGTACTTCCAACAAATTCAGTGTCAGAAATAAGACAAGTATCATAGTCACAAATCAGATTTAACCTACATTGAAAGTTTGAATGTAACTGCTTTTACATCAAGCAGTGACAGGAAATTGCATACCCAGACCACATGTAAGGCGATCTCTGACATCTGCCTTGACTAGACTGTAACAAACTTATATTTGGGTAAAATGAATGGACCGTGTCTGCAGCACAGTTTCATTGATTGCTGGATAGTAGAAGCACACTCACTGACTTCACAGTTTGCCTTAAGTGCTCTTTAATCTAGGTGTGTGTATATTGGAGGAGCTCTGCTCATATAGTTTAGAAAAGCATAAATATTAGTAGTAAGGTCCAAATGAGCTTTGCTAAACACAGGTAAAAGCTGAAGGAGTTTAAGGCCTCATTTACACTGCCGCGCGTATACGCGCGCACGTGCGTATTGTACCATATGCGGCATATGCAAATAAATGGTGCCATACACATAGCCGCGTAGGGAGCTGTTTATTTGCGCAGCGTATATATGCGCAAAAACAGAATGGAACCAAGATGCGTCCGGGCAGCGTATTTTACGCGCATTCGCATGTCTGCGCATGTATGTGCGCATATACGTGCATATGTGCATGCAGTTCATTAAAAATTTCCATTAGGAATGATGCATTCTGGGAATGCAAATAATGCACGCATATACGCTTGTATATACGTGCATAGACGAGGTATATACACAATATACAAGTTTGCTTGCGTTGTGTGTGAATGAGGCCTAAAAGTAGACAAATCCTTAATAAATCTAAATACTACCTCAATCATTTATTGATAGAACTCAGATAAGTGTACTAAACTAATGTTGATGAACTAGAAATATGCAGGGGGATGATTTGACAAATACAAATACAAGTCTTAATTCACCTAATATCCAATAACCATAGAGAAAGAAATTCATTCTTAATACTATTTTGTAATGTTTTCTTTGTTTTTGTAGATTTCTCACTTTTTTTCTAAAACATTCTGCAGGAAAAAAATATAACTTAAGCACATTGATCGACTGATCTTGACATGACTGATTGTAGTGGCCCTGGGTATTCACGGAGGACTTTTTCATCAGCTTTTCACCAATATCAAGTGAACCTCTGTTTAACTCAGAACTCCAGAAATGCACAGCAGTTCCTTTTTTTTAACTTCCCCTTCTCAAGAATATAACCCGAAATAATCAAAAGCTCACTTAAGTTTAATGAATCATCCTACAGTGTCAAGTATATCACAGGGCATGCTACATTTTTCACTTAATAGGTTAAAAGATTGAGAAAGTGAGCCCAGTAATATACTTTGTGTGTCACTGCAGCAAACAAGGGCTTGTATTTCTTGTGATGTAGATAATTGCATTTACAGGCATTAAGCATATTGTTTAGAAGCAACTATTGCTTTATAAACATCTATGTAGAACTATTACTCATAATATAACATGTATACAAACCGTGCCCTATCTGCGCCTGCACAAACCATTTTGCTGCAAACTGAAGACTGGGTAATGCAAAACAATATTTTACATTAACTGGTTTAAATAGAAATGTATGATATATTTAGTAAATTGTAACAGTTACTTTTTTTTACATTAAAACGTCTAATAAAAATCTCTGAATTAAATACAAACAATGGATGCAACCCTTGCATTGTTCAATATACAGTAAAGCTTGGATAAGCCAGACACCATAGAATATATAAAACATAGCCTGATCCAAAGACAGGTCGAGCACCAGAATAAGAGTACAGAGTTTGATAAAAGTGAAACAATCAGGGGAAAAGCTTCATATGCAATAGATATGGTCAATTGATTCTTTTTATTCTTTTTTTTTTTTTTGTAACAGATGTTCACCATCAACGAGATGAGATCAACTGCAGGAGCACATTGGTGGAATAAGTGTGGTAGAAAGAGGCAGTAACAAAGGCAGCTTCCCCCCCCCAAAGCTACTGAAGGACATAAAATGGCGGGCAATATATGTTCAACAGAACACAAAATAAATACTTCAGGGTAAAAATAATAATCAGCCATAATAGCCCAGCAAATTAACCATCCCCCTAAAACGATCAGTCAAGGGTATCTGCATTAGCCTTTCGGTGCCCATAGACACAGAGATCAGCACCCAACCTGACTCAAGTCTGTTGGCTCGTAAGGTCTATGTACTGGGTTCCTCATGTTATAGCAATTGCTAATATAAGATTGTTTCAGAGTACAAAAAGCAAATATCAGCAAAGGCATAAGGGACACATCCACTTTCATAGAGATACACATTTTTAAATTAGGCCGATGTTACATATATTAGTATATCTTTTTGCACCAGTTCTTAGTTTGTGTGTGAGCTGTCAAAAATTCATTACACTTCTACAATAACATGAATAGGTTTATCCAACAAAACAGCTTAACCCAAAGTAACCATACTCACAAAGAGTGGCCTTACTTAAAGGAGCAGTAAGATATACTCTTCCCAGGACTTAGATCCTGTGTTGGACAATGAAGCTGTCTCACGCTGGCTTTATACCAAGAGCATATAAATGCTGATTCCTCAACTCTTGGTCTACTCCCTGTAGAGAGCAGTGACTTTCAGGTACTCCTCCTTCCCCTATCTGTTCCTCCAGCACTCACTGGAGGGACGGAGAGGGAAGGGAACAGCTGGTTCTGGCTCTACAGAGGCAAGACTAGTGGCTAGTGACTAACTAGGGGCTAGTGTGGGAGAGGTCCTCAGAAGCTATGGAATCTAAAAATAATGCAGTAGAACCTCCACAAGCCCTGCCTGTTATAGATAATGTACACAGTTATAATAAACAGTTACAGAAAATATTTATTTGTCTATATATATATTATCAAAAATAAAAAATACAGTTATCCTTCAATAATTACTTTACTGGAAATGCATGCACCATTTGTTGCTCTGGGTTAGAGCTAAGCATAGATTGCTGCTGACCCCAAAGGATGTTGGGAGATTTGATACTGATTTAGGATTGCAACATACAAAGTGTGTGATAATCTTTGATACACCAAAGGGAGGGGGTACTTAATGGTTAAAGATTTAGATGAGCCCACCAAATTTATACTAATATCTCAACGTTAAGGAATCAAAAAAAAAGAAATTAATTTCCTCTAAACCTTGTTGGTATCTGCAGTTAAAACAGGATCCCTGGACCAATGTACACCTTATGTACTTCTGCATATCACCCTCCTTTATAAATAAGATCTGTTCACAAGCCAGCTAAGCTGAGCTCTTTCTACAGCTACCAATAGTTTTCACCATTAAATGTGGACAGTATTACTTACTACTCATTTTTTTATTATTATTCAATGCTCTGAAGGTTGCCATTAAAGGAATCATCATCCTTCAGGGTTTTACATTATTATATGTACTATATTCTGCTAGTTGCTGAACAAATCTCATATTTAATGTGACCCTGTTCCCATTTATGGACATTGAAGTATTTACATATTCTTAACAAGCAGTTAATGAGTTTTAAACAAAGGACCGCTGACCTCTGTAGCTGCAGGCACTATGGAGAAATCAATCTTTACGTTCACAACAGAGGCACCGAAAATTGCAGCTCCTCTCTTCTATTTTCTAGCAGCAGAGACTTGGCAACCTGCCAGCAATCTAATGAAAACAAAGAGCAGGTGCTATAAGCTGTTATTTGACTCTTTAGAGTCTCTGTTGTGATCTTTGAAGATGAATTGCTCCGCAGTACTTGCATCTACAGAGGTCAGCCGACTTGTTTTAAAGCTCCTTTACTGTTTGCAAAGAATATGTAAATACTTCAATGTCCATATTCTGGGTGAAGGTGCAATTTAAATCAACAACAATCACAGACCTATGCATGTGCGAAGCCTTATAAAACAATAATGTTATCTGTAGGTGTTTCCACGTTGATTAGGATGCTGGAATTTTCCTCCATAAAAAGCAACTTTTTGGGAAAAAAATAAAATGTGAGATATCTTATGCAATGGAAATGCTGGCTGTACTCGAATATCTACCTAAACCTTTATTTAAAGTTAGATCTAATAGCAGCAATAGATGGTAGCATAAGACCATCAATGAGTGGGGTTAATGACCATTTGAAACATTGACCATCAGAATACAGAAACCAAATGTATATAATGCCAATAAAAAAAACTTAAAGCATCATTTTCATGCTACCACTTGATAAAAAAAGGCTTGACCTTAGGCGTGTTCAGCACCAAAATATTTCACTGCAGTTCGCTGCAACTGACCAAAATTCTTTGAGGTACAGTAAACAAACAGGTATAAACGCAGTCCCCCACATACACCAATAACTGCCAATACTCTGATCTTTTTTTCTAAACTCGAGGAAGCACCATGTCTGTAATATTCGCTGTCAGAACATTTTAGAAAAAGTGACAACGGAAGAACTGAGGTGATTTTTGCATAAATACTTTCCTTTTTTCTTTTTATACTGAATCCAGTTGGTAGCACCCTTAAGACGACATAAAGTGCATTCACACTGCACTGAGAGGTAACAATACTGAGCCGTATTAACTTAAGGCCCAGAGGTTTTATCCTTAGCATAAAAACTTGAGTCATTTTTTTTTTCAAATGACTGAAAAAGTGCTACAGGCAAAACAATGCAAAAAGCCTTTGCTATTTTGACTTTAAAAAAAATTGTCCTTTCCCAATGACACTGCTCGGCTACTTGTGATGACGTTCATGTCGCCACAGAGACATTTTGTCCATCGGAATCAGTGTGCACTTCATCAATACCTTCCCTTCTTCGCCTTACTATATCAGAAGATGCCAGTGAACTGGCCCTGCCTTGTTTGTTTACTGACGTTTTGTTGAACATTGTGCCAAGGCTATCCACGAGTCCACCTTCACTTTCCTCTACCCCTTGCTTTCCTATATCTGTTGCTGATGTGTTATTTCCCAGCACTTGCAAAGCAGAAGGACCTTTATTGGTACCGTTGACTGCTGTGACCTTTGGGCCATGCTGGATATCCATTGGGCTTTTCTCTATAGACGTTTCATGTAAGACACTTGCAAGCGTTGGGATCAAGGTTACTGGCAGTATCGGGCTAGGGAGAACTGCTCCTTCCGGAGCTCGAAGTTCCAGCGCTGCGTGCTCTGAACTTGGGGTCAAGCTGGTGGGAACAATCTTTTTACTGCAAGATTCACAGCACAGCTTGTTGTATCCAGGTATAGAGCAGTACCGTGCTAAGACTTCCATCTGACAGAATATGGATTTGTCTCCTTGACATGCATCTTCTGTGGAGAAAAATTGAGTTTATTATGATTTCTTTCGTTTACCAAGTTCATTTTAGAAATATTTCAAAATGTCTTTATTACAGCTTTATTGACCGCTAAACACTGTCAACTCCCAAACTTCTAAGGCAATCCCCAAGTATTTTCAGGAAGACAACGGCCCCACAATTGAAACATATTATTTTCCGGATCCCTGTCTGTCTCTCTAAGAGTTATATACATATGGAAAAATGTTAAATATTAGAAGCTGTGTGTGCGAACTCCTCCTCAGAATGTCATAGCTGTCAGTGGGGCAAGCAGTTTTAAAGCAGTGCATGGGCAGAAAACAAATTATCCTGGCTGTCTGTTCTATGACATATGCACATTTGCATACCAGCAGCCCTCCCAATTTAAAAAATGAAAACAGCATTGGTTGCATTAATTTAAACATTTGCGTTATAACTGTACATTGGCTTAGGGGGTACTTACTAAATAAAATGAGGCCTAACATGCAATGTTTATGTAGTTATCAATGTTGCCACTAGATGGAACTATTACCATAATGATGATATTAACCACTTCAGCTCTTTATACAAATGGACCAAAGCTGTTTTTACATTTTCACTATGGACCTACTGTAATCTATAGACAAAAATACATAAACATGAAAAAATGCATTTTTTTCTATTTTGACTAGTGTTTTTTGTTTTACTGTAAATAAAAAGTGTACATTTTATTCTATGATTCAAAATTACCCTAAAATTATGTTTCTGGAATAAAGCATGGCAGAGTTATTTTCAAATAAACACAAAGGAGTTTACTATTTTCAACCTTGCTGATTTTTTATGCGTCACTGAAAAAAAACAACAAGCAAAACAAATAAAAACGGAAAAAAACAAATATTGGTGGTAGAAAAATAGAAACAAAAACAAATCAGAAGAAAAAAAATATTAGAGAGAAAGGGTAGAAAATATTAACTATGAAACAGAGAAGGCAGAATTACTGGTTAACAAGTGGTTACACAGGAATACATTTTATTTACATTTTGTTTTTTACTTATAATTTTTACCTATCTGATGTCATATGCAGGTCAAAGGTCACAACTTTGATCTACATATCAGTGTAATAGTAACTACACTAAATTGCAATGATATTGTCATTTTGTCACTTATATGATATTTCACACAAAAGCAGTGGCGACTCTAGGAACAATATATAGGGGGGCACATAATTTACCACAGTCAAAATGGGGGGGCACTAATAATTTTCACCACTAAATCCTACCACTGAAAAAAACGGAATAAGTATATATAAATAAGATTACAAAATACGAGAGTAATGCGGTATGCGGTGATACCTTTTTATTGTACTAGCCTAATACTTAGAAGACAAGCTTTCAAGAGTTTTTCTTTCTTCTTCAGGTATTGCTTCAGACTTGAGAAAGAGAGGAAAACTCTCAAAAGCCTTTCAATTTGAGCAAACACCAGGGCTGTGTAAATAATCACCTATAGCGATAGAGGACTACAAACCGCAGCAATACATTATACAGAAAAGCAGAATACCACCAGCTATAGAGGACTACAAATCCCAGCAAAACATAGAGCAATGCAGAATAATAGTATATACATTTGCCACATACTCTGTGCTGCTGCTCTACTCTGGGGTCCTGGCCTAATGTATTGGGGTATTGGTCAAAGCTTGTCAGGAGGGGTGGGGAGGGTCTTAGTAAGGGGAGATGTGTGGGTGGCAGAAGCGCTTTAAGCAGGCATTGCGTGGCTCCCCAGAAGGCTGCCGCAAGGTCCCCAGCCGGACCTAAGACACCTAAGTCAATTTGAAAAATTTAAGTGCTGGTATCGGTTTTTAGTATTGGGACAGAGGTCAGTTATAACGCAGAGTGCATTGGTCAATAATGTATAGCAGAGTGCGGAGCTCAGTAATGTAACACAAAGTGTGGATGACAGCAATGTAACGCAGAGTGCGGATGACAGCAATGTAACGCAGAGTGCGGATGACAGCAATGTAACGCAGAGTGCGGATGACAGCAATGTAACGCAGAGTGCGGAGGACAGCAATGTAACGCAGAGTGCGGAGGACAGCAATGTAACGCAAAGTGCGGAGGACAGCAATGTAACGCAGAGTGCGGATGACAGCAGAGTAACGCAGATTGCAGATGACAGCAATGTACCGCAAAGTGTGGATGACAACAGTGTAAGAGAGAAAGGGACTTACAGTTTTGATGTACTAGATCATGTGCTCTGTCATGCCCTCTTCTTCCTTTCCAGGCAGTGTGTGGTGGTGGTGGGGGAACAGCGATGTTTCTCCCATGTGAAGCCCCAAGCAGCCTTGATGTGTCTTCTCTGTCCCTACTCTGGTAAAATACATGAGCAGCGAATGGCTCCCTCTTAGCCAATAGCAGCTGGGGTGGGCGGAGGAAGATACAAGTGGTTGCCGACTGCCGAGTCCCAAGCCCCCCAGCACACATAATAAAATATCCCCCCCTTTCCTTCCAAGCCCCCTCACCTGCTTTCATCCAGGCAGGGAGGAGGCACATCGTTCCCTGGTGATGCACTAGACCTTACTAGTGATCCATCATTCGACCGATGCTCAGAACTGACAGAGCTCCGGCCGAAGCTGACAGGAGCAGCTCTGCGGTCTGCATCCGTCGGAGATGCAGACCGTGTAGCTACTCCTTTTTTTTAGCTATATAATACATACAGGAAAGTGAGCTGAATTGGAGAATGTTTCCAAATCAGCTATATTGTCCTAGATTGTTCACTTCTCCTGCCTTCTCCAAACTCTTCACCCTTTTGTGAATAGGCCTGAAAGTAATTTTTGGTTGTCATTTTGACAGCTGGTAATTGCCGGATATAGTACGGAGGGTGGGTGCAGTGGGAGTTTTTCGATTTTTTTGGGACGTATCTTATTCATTAAATTCTGAAGCAGTTAAAAATGGCCTGGAGTCTTTTAATGTTAAAGTGACACTAAACTCAGGAGTTAAACCTTAAATGCATTTAAGCACCTTTACTATTAACAAAAATGTGTCTTATTTGTGATCATCCTATTTGTGTAGATCCTCAAATCATCTCTGAATTCATGCTGTCACTGTCCTTCCTTCTGGAGGGTGTCTACTGTTGTTCCCCATGGTCCCTGTGTGTGTTGTAAAGTAGCCTACGCTCCAAGCTCACTTCAGTGATGGACTACAATCCCAATACAAATTAGTAAACTAAATGTGAGATTGTAGTCCATCACAGGAGTGAACTTGGAGCAGTGGCTACTTTACAACACAAGGACCATGTGTACAAGAGTAGCCCCCCTCCAGAAGGAAGGACAGTGTCAGCACCAATTCAGAGATGATTTGAAGATCTACAGCCGAATGATACACAAATAATCTATATTTCTGTTAATGGTTAAGTTTTTTTTAAGGTTTAACTTCTGAGTTTGGTGTCACTTTAATTAAATTATATATATATATATATAGATATAGATCTATATCTATATATATATAATTGCTATACAAGCCATTTTGTAATTTTATGTTATTAATTACAATGGTATTATTATTATTATTATTATACAGGATTTATTTAGTGCCAACAGTTTGTGCAGCACTTTACAATATAAGGAAGACATTACAGTTACAATACAAATCAAGACAAGATGATAAGGAAGGCCCTAATCTAATTATTAAGAATTATCTTTCCATTTTAATCTGTAACTGGTTGTGATAACCATTACATTTGAAGGGATTCTGTACACTTCCCCAATGTAATTGGCTTGCTGCTATTCCCAGTGGTTTTTCTCATGAGGCTTGAACTGATTATTTGACTATAATAAGCAGACCTTCTTCCTACTTAGTACACAGAAAAGGAGTGGAATGCAGATGTGAGTTCATACTTGCAATGCATATGACTGAAATTGAGAGGATTGTTTGTTAAAGCAGCAAACTTAGAATGAATTAGAAGTGTAAAAGGAATCTGTCAATAAAGTCAAAAGCACAGGCGCTAGGGATAAAAATACTCATCATTACACCACTGACCCTGAACTGACTGACCTATGCATGTCAGTTGTGGAGACATTTGACAGAAATAGGTGGGAACTTTCCAGCTTTTGAGACTCTGGCTTTAGGCCCCATTCACACTGAGCGACATGAAAATCGCGCGATTTTGAGCGACTTGTCGCGCAACTTTTTCCTATTGGGCTGTCAGGAGCAATATCGCTCGAAATCGCTCGAAAAAAGGGTCATGTAGGAGCGACAAGCTACCAGCGACGAGCTACAAGCGATATTGAGCGATATTGAGCAACGAGATGTGAACAGCTCCATTGAAATGGATTGGAGAAGCTACATAGAGCGATATCGCGTAGAAATATAAGCGATATCGCTGCAAAAATCGATTGATAAATCGCTCAGTGTGAATGGGGCCTTAGGGTCTCTGGTCCACTGGCAGTTCCCTCCAGCTCAGCTGGTGATTAGCTGCTAGGATCATTAATATCAGAGTCAGTACTCCCAGCAGCCACAGCAGTATGTCTGTGAATGAAAAGAAGTAGGGAGTGTTCAAAGCGTGGTTTAGAGGAGGAAAAGGTGTGCAAACAAAGTAGGTATGGGGAGGAATCAAATAGGATGCTCAGTGTGACGGCTAAACCAGGAAAATGATTGAAAAACAGCAAGGAGTGTGTGGGGCAGAAAGAAAATCTTAAGCAGGGTATATACAGGTAGATTTTCACATGAACGGTCGTCCGAAAAAGCTGCTCGGAATGACCGATAATACCATCAGAAGCTTGGCGATTGTCATTCACAAGTTTGTTTGATGTTCGATTTTATATAACATTTTGTCTTGGAATTAATGGAGTTTTCCCGAACGAAAAACCACATTCAGTGTTAGAATTTTTTTAGTCCGAGAAAAGTTTTCCAACATGTTCCTTTTTCATCACTGTGGTCCAAAATGATCATCAACTTCACCGCATCAACGTTTAGAAAGTCGAATGAAATTTCCAAAATCGATTTCATTCAAAATTCTATCTATGTATGCCTAGCTTTAGTAAGACAAGTGTGGCTTACAGCAAAAGAATGAGGCGAGTGATACAAATGACACAAATACTGCTAAATGGGGAGAAACAGAGTAGGGCTTGGGAGAGCAAAGAACAGATTCCAATGTCAGAGAGAGGCTTACGGGCACAAATGTGGATGATTAGAGTATGAGATTAAAAAGTCTGTGTACCTATGTATTGTCAAGTCATATCTGTTTTTTAAGCACAATTACTATCATGTAACCCCCATGGAGACCTGCAACCAAAGCTTGGTTAGCTTTATATCTTGCCACAACACAAACCTAATATCTTGCCACTATTATGACACACCGCCCAGCTTCCTGATTGCCCGTGAAGTCGGCTCCATGCTAGCGGAAGTACCGGTATCAGCACTCGGTATAGCCGAGTACCGAAAGATAAATATCGGTACTCGTACTTGATACCAAAAAAACGGTATCGGTGCATCCCTAGTTTAAATATTTTGTGACTATTGAAAAATATATTTAAACAAACATTTTTGTGCCTGGAGTTGGGAGTTAAATTACAGTAACATAAATGTAATAAAGCAAAATATTATTTGCAGTATTTAATAACACTGATTGGAAAATTCTGTAAGTGTGTACCTTCAACTAGAAAGTTCAGGGGCAAAAATGAATGCATACACATCAAATGAAATCTATGACCTGTGGATTGGATTTCTTAGAGGCTTTCTATACTTACTGGAAGATATTTTGTTCACAGGGTTTTTAAGGGAATTCTGTGGGGCAGCTCCAGGTGTCTTAGAAGGACTGAGGTCACTTGTTTCTGCTTGCTGTGCAAGTCCTGGTGATTTTCCTGAAAGTCAGTTAAACATTAATCAGACGATTGCATAAAATTAGATACATACCTATGTTATATGTCCTAAAAATAACTGGCAATGTAACACAAAATGTATACTGCATCATGCAGTATTATTTATAAAGTACACAAGGCACACTGGGTATGGTGTGTGTATGTGGTTATTTTTTAAATGTATTTATTACAGGTATTTATATAGCGCTGACAATTTATTCAGCGCTTTATATAGTTGCACATTCATCAGTTCCTGCCCTCAAAGAGCTTACAATCTAAGGTCCCTATCTCACATACATACATAAAAGGCCAATTTACTCAGAAGCCAATTAACCTACCAGCATGTCTTTGGAGTGTGGGAGGAACCCTAAGTACTCCTTGCAGATAGTGACCTGGCTGAGTTCGAACCAGAGACCCCCAGTGCTACAAGGCAGAATCGCTAATCACTACGCCACTGTGCTGCCTTGGTTATATTAGGGGTGCACAATAGATGTCCCATGAGCTGATTGTGGCCCCCAAAAATCTTTCTGTGGTCCAGGCTTTTTTTTTTACTTTTACAATTTATCCTAAAGCCCCAATCAAGTGAAGACCTTTCAGTGGGGAAGGTTTAGAGCCTCTGTTTTGATTGCTGTGTGTGTCCTTACTGTGGATATTTCCCCCTCACTTCCTGCCCTAGAAATGTTTCCAACAGGAACACAGACATAAACAGTTTGTACTAGAATGGGGATGGGTTAGATCTTCTGACAAGGTTTTCATTGCTATCTGTGTCATCCTGTACAGGTAACAATTGCATTCCCCATTTCTTGTATGGGTATCACAGGGACAGGAAATAGGGAGAAATCTCCCCAAAACGGTCACATACAGAAATAAAACAGCTGAGAATAATAACTACTCTTCTCCATTCTATCCAAAGCAAAAATAAAAAAATATTGGCTGGAATTGGGCTTTAAGGTGTTTTTCCACATTTTCAGTCAAATTTGAGAAACGTCCACTATACATGTGTTATGTGTTTCCATTCACACAGCATATCTGAAGGTAATTTTTTCAAATGAAACATTTAAATGATTTCTTGCAGTTCTAGTTGTTTCTGTGGAGAAGTTTTTTTTATGTGCAAAAGACTCTAAGCCACTCTTAACAATTTAAAGTGCAATTCTAGGGACAAAATGAGGGAAAGTGCATTAACATACAATGAACCTTTGTTAGGACAGGCACATTTAGTTTACACCTGATAATGAGATCTGCCACCACAGTACAGGCAGGGTTAATTAAGATAAACTATAACTCCCCTGCCCCCTTCTTAACACCTTCATGCTGTATGCATGTATGAGGCAGCACATCACATAGGCCACATACTGTATATGCATCCAACTTGTGGCGTTGTTCTGTGCTGCATGCTTACTCTGTGATTCCAACACAGTGACCGAGCTGTCACCGCCAGCTCCCAGTCACGGTTTATTGCAACAGCAATGATGATGCCATGAATGGGATGCCTGCCTCCCACTTCCAGCGTTAAGAACCCCTTAAAGAGCTGGCAACAAGGGGTTAACATTACATTTAAGGTGAAAACTTCAGTTTTAATGATTTCAGAAAAGAGCAAGTAAAAAGGCAAGCAGCATTTGTTTAAGTTATGGGAACAATGGAAAAATAATAAGTAGGCGTTATCTCAATTTGGTTGCAAAAGTGGAAATACAGTTTATGTTTTGTCATAATGTGTTCAAATCTAGTTGTTACTGTACTACAACTAATTACCATCACTTTCTTTATCTTCAGATAAAGTATAAGCAGAGAGTTTGATAAGTTGTTATTATTGATTCCATCACTGCAGATCTTTTCCACTATGTTTATTGCTCCCCCACTCAACTAAACACACACAAACTATTCACAGCCAATCATCCAGCTATATTACATCATTGTTTCTGTAATATATTTACCATGTGTATGTTCAATATGTTGGCCAACTCAAGCTGTTTCAGATTTCATGTCGGTTTCAAAAATTTACTAAGTTTCCAAAAACAGGATTCATTTCAGGAATCAACATCCTGAATCCTACTAGGACAAAACAAAGTAAAAGGCCAGCATCAAATATACACATCGTTACTATACCTGGGCAAGATGCCATCTTGCAGACCTGGATAGTTTCGGGCTTCTCTCCATCACACTGACCAATAACGTTATCACTTGCTTTGCACACTACTTGGCGTTGCTGAATGCCTTCACCGCAGCTTGATGAGCACTGTGAAAGTCAATGAGATTACATCAATCACAAGGGAGATACACAGCTTGTGCAAATGTAGAGACTTCCTTCCATGAATGCAGGATGTGAGCGTCTTCCAAATTGCTGGTTTCTTACAAACAGATAACAGATGCACTGCAACCTCTCCTGAGTCTCATAAATAAACACAAAAACTGAATATAAATGAAAAAAGTATGTTTGCGTAGCTGAGGCCGTATGTATGTGTACACGGTACTTGGTCAAAACATTTCAACTAAATATTTACTTTTTTTGTCCTTACATGTAACAGTGTAGCATTCACTAGTGTCACTACACAGAGAATGTTGTAGTTCTCTGGTTGGCTCACAAACACATTACGGTAATTTAAATACATACAAGGAAAGCACAACACTGCACACATGGCAGATAATGGTAATTGGTGCTTGTGATTGTTAGAATCACACTACACCATATTAGTATCATGAATTGATGTTAGATGCATTAAAAGTGAGCCACGAAACCATGCATTGAGAGCTCTAAAAGGGTTTTTCACTTTAACGTGACCTATTTGCTACAGTATAGATTTTAAATGAAGGCATACCTTTAAAATAGGTCAGTGCTCTAAAGACATGCTGGGAGGCTCCTGTCTAATTGGCCCTAGTATCTGTGTATTGGAGTTAGGGACCTACATTTGTAGGATTGTTAAAGACAAGGACTGATGTGAATGAATAGTATGTAAAGCATTGCGGAAACTGACACCACTATATAAATAATTGTAATAAATAAGTGGACAAATACTTACCTATCTTCCTGCCCATACTGTTAAACTCCACCCTTATAATGAGAAACCTTCTGAAGTCCACACTGAAACTGACAGTTCTGGAATGTCAATCTGCTGCGTGCCCCACAACTCTTAATAGTTCCTCCTGCTAACTATAACGTCATTACTGTATCTTGAGGAGGAGGTCAGAAGGAGTAACCAATGAGAGCTGCGGAGAACCATGGACATCGATACAGCATCTCTGCGTAAAATACAGGTAGCCAGAAGTCCAGCACTGTTATCTATAGGCCAGTATTACACAAAAATAAGTAGTATCCCTGTATCTTTTGTCTTAGATGAAGATAATTATATGTTTAAAGCCCAACTCCACCTTTTGGTACCCTCTTCCCCACCATCACTTTACTGTTAAATATCCCTTTATACATAACATACAAATCCTGCAGTTTCAAGCATGTTTTCCAGGGTCCTTCTATGGCAGTGGCAATGGGCAGTCCCCCCCCCCTCCCCCTGTGTGTCCAGGTGAGGACCAGTGCTGGAGAACAGATCAGTGAGTATCCTGTCAGACAGTGTCTGACAGGAGGTTATTATAATTACCTATAATAAATAAGTAAATAAATAATTGCAGTAATAGTTGCATTCCCATTTAGAGACCTAATTGCTTACATGAAAAATGGGCTCTACAGTACTTTACAATGTGCAAATCTACTGTCACATGCTGATAAGAGAAGATGATACTAAAACAGATGTTGTGTACTGAGTGCTCCCTGTATCTCTTGTTACAATGATGTTTCATATAGCTTTTATTCCACTGCTACTAACCTGTGACCAGGCCCCTGTCCTCCATTGCGCAGGGCAAGATATACGATTGCATGACCTTCTTGGTTCTGGACGTTCGGCAGTGCAGTATTTAGTATGGACTGTCCTGTTTGTGCCATTTTCCAGGTGTTGGATACACTGAACCAGTCTGATCTGGACACCCAGTTTACCACAAGTCTTACTGCAAGGGCCCCAGTCCTCCACCACCCAACTGCAAACATAGGTAAATATATTTTACATTTTTCAAAACATATGCCATATTTATTAATGCAGTCATGAAAAATATACAACACTATGCAAAGCAAACGTATTCTCATGCAATAACATACATCAGAGGTATTTAATAAACATAATGAATATGGGAAAAGAAAATATAATTGCAAGGCATCCTTATTCTTTGTGAGTGGAAACTTAACATGACATTCAAGGATAATTCTCCCCCCCAATGCTGCTTTAAGGACTTACCTTAAATGATGCCTCTTGATCTGATCATCTTCTTTCCAGTAGTTTTCAGCAATCCCTCCAGGGCTGGTGGCGGTCTCTGATCCAGCGCTGACTGCTGTGTCTTCCTATCCCACGGAGCCTGTGCGAGTGCACGCTGCCGGGCTGCTTGCATTGACGTACCCTGTGTCTCTCCTCTTCTCTCGGCCGAAGATCTCTACTGTGCATGCACACGCCCGTGATCCTTCGCGGCCGCTCGAGAATTTTTTAGACCTTCGGACGGGAGCGAGTGGCAGAGACACAGGTAAGTAATAGCCTTTTTGGTGACTTTTTTTTTTAATGTTCTTGCACATATCTACTGCTTGTTAGCAGTAGATATGTGCAAAAAAAAAGTAAGGTTTAATTATCCTTGAAAAGCTAAATGGTCTTGTAAAGAAGACTTGAGGAGGGAAAATAGCATTTGCATGGCATGCTGTTTTGTTTGTTTGTTTTAGGTATAAATAAATATTTCTAATGGAAGGGTCAGTATACAGTATCAGGAACTTGTTCTGGCTTTATGACTGGAAAAGAAATAGAAGACACATCTCCCTGTAGAGGCACAGACAGCAAAAAAAGCCCAATAGAGCAGAAAACTGCTTTGTATGGAGTTCCTCTGTAAAATAACTGAAACATTTAGATTGGGCCACATACTAACTACCTTGTTGTGGTTATGACATGTGGACAGATCAGGAAAATGAAGGATAGCAGTTGAAACACCATCATCTACCAAAGTCCTAAACATCAGTTATGGGTGCAGAGAGCCTTTTCCTATGTTAAATGTTGATTTAAGTTTTTACCATATTTTCGAAGGGGAAAAGGTTTAGATTCACCTGTTAACAGTCTCAACTCCGAACCACAAGTAAACACATTATTGTCTATGGAGATCTGCAGTACTGTTTTGCCTATGTACAGATACAGGTTCTCTCCCTCTCTCTCCTTTTTGCCAACTTAAAATAGATTGTTATGAGAGGGCCATTTCATGTTACTAACTTGGTCATACCCTGGCTGAGAGCATTCATGCAAGTTACATCTTTTCCGTATTGGCTTTGGCTTTTTGTTGTTATCACACAGGTTACGTTGAACCATCCTGCTGTCACTTTTTCGCCGGCATCCATATTTAGTGTACTGTATACCTGCAAAGCAAAAAAATAAATATTTACTGAATAGAAAATTACAAGGATGTGTTTTCATTACGTTCCACATCACTTACTTTTATGACTAATAACGTGGGGACAAATATTTGCTCATAAATAAAACACATCAGTTTAAGTTTGAACAAGCAATGCTGTAAACCATCATTACTTAGGTACCACTTTATAAATGATATATATAGTGTATGTATAGCCAAATCTTTTTTTTTTTT